CATTTATATTTAACACAGACAATAATTATAGAAGTCAAACATGCCTTGGCTGTCGAAGAAAGAGGGTTATTGATTCACTTGCCCCCTCCCCTCCTCCCCACCCTTCATTTGGAAGTTCTGGACTTTATGAGGGCTATATGATATAATATCTGCCTACAGGGATTGGCATCTACCTGATAGGCAGGTATTATTCAGTTCAAGAAAAATGTTTCACAATGACATGACTTAAAATAATTCAGACACTTCCGTATTTTAATTTACATATTTTATAGTAGTAAAAATTTACAATCCAATCTCTAATGACATTTTATCATCTGCAGTGAATCATTATGTATTAGTCACAATAAACTATAATATTATCAAGACTGAATAATAAAATGATCAGGACTGTAGCTAACATTTATTAGTGTACCAAATAAAAGTAAATCTAAATTATAAAAAGAAAAAACTTAAACCAATGACAAAGGGAATGTCTGCAGCAAACTGAAGAGCAACATTATGTAACATCCTCAATTTAGTTATGATAACATAGCCCCAAAAGATGAAGATAATTCCACTGAATTATTAAAGTGATAATGTAAACAATATTTGAAAGTCATACAACTTCTCAAATGAAACCAGTAAGCACATGAATCATTGCTCTTTGTGACCTAGGGCCTCATCTCCTTATCCTAAAAGAAACCTGTTATTTCTTACAGATGGGCATGAAATTGACCTGCAGACTGATACCACCACATACTGGCAGTTTATGAAGCCTGACATCCAGTTATGCTTAAAGTTTTGCCTCCTCACACGCTCGTGCTCTCTCTCTCTCTCTGCAGCTATTTGTAGTTACAGTTTGGGCATGAAATAGTTACCTGGTTTCCCACACATAACCAGTCCACTGGTGTTCTGTATCAGATCCTTTTTCCCCCTTCTTGCGGGAAAGGCATACAAAGCCACTGAACACACTGCAGCAGTAATTATCTCCCCGTACACGGAAGGCGTGAAAGCAACTTCCCAAAGTGACATACAATTCCATGAACGTTTATGTCCTGGAATAACCCTAGAATAACCTCTATCTTATCTTCCAGTTAATAATGAAGATATGACTTCATTATTATGATTCCATTTTAGAATTAAGCAAATTAGGGATTCACCTCTCGATTGAAATAGGAAAAAAACATGAGAGCATTCTCAAAATATCTTAATATTTCGAAGCAGTCCGGTGAGACTGGACTTAAATGATTCACATCATCCAGGATACGAAAATTCTCTATTTAAATCAATTCTTGGCCAACAACAAGGAAATAATTCAATTTTAAAATTGGCAATAACTGGATTTTTTAATTAAATGAATGTAAAAGTTTTAAATTTATTTTCCCAATTTGTATAGAGAAGAAAAAAAACCTGCAATTCTGACCTAATATAGACTTAATTCAAATACTCAAGGTCAAACAATTACTAAAGTTTTTATTAAATTGAGTTGGAAAGTAGTTTTTTTAAGTCAAAATATATGAGAATTAGATTTGGCTTATTTAGCTTGTAAACGCAGCACTAACATCCCCCCCATGAATGCCGGCTGCTCCTACTTTCTGCTTGCCTTCTCTTATGTTTACCATCACTACTACTCTGCCCCACTACCTCCCTTCAAAACCAGCATAGGTAAGAATTAAGATAACTGGACACTTAGTTTCACAATTTAGAATCTTCAGTGTTAACATACAATACTCGAAATGCTGCACCTTCTCCTTATATAATAGTGGGGGTTGGTGAGGGGATATACTTTGGTCAAAACACAGTTTATGTTACTGGTTGTGAATGATTACCAGTTTTGAAACTTCTCTTCAAATATCTACAACTAGAATATATTTCTAACTGAAAGCCTACCTTTACTTGAAGCAGGTAAAACTATTTGCACAGACCATCATATATATACCTTATCTATACACTTGAACCAGTTATTTCAATTTCTAATGTAGCAGAGAAACAACGTGCTTTTCACATCAAATCAAATAAGCAGGTGCTAAACTCTGCTGTAATGTGATATTGTTACATAACAAGTTTCCTGTTGGCATCTATAAACACCTCGCAATATCCTATACAGTGTTACTAACTCTACAGTTAAATCTCTAAATTAGAAGATCTACAGATTAAGGATATACCTGAAAAACAATGTAGCAGGCAAAAGACACACAACCTTTCCCAGTGCAAAGTTTTTTGTTTTGTTTTTTTCTTCTATTTTTCCTTTCTGTTGAGTCTTTAACTAAAAGGTATCATCTTATACTTTTCAATGCATTTGATCCACACAAAGTAGGTATTGGAAGATAGCTGAGACAATCAACTTATTATTTTCCTGACTCTGATACAGAAATAACCAAGGGTGGAGAGGTTTATAGTAAACTCAACCTCCAAAACACACCGTGTCAAACAAAGGCACACATAGTATGCTTTTCAACACCCAGAAACCTTATGTTGGACATCAGTTGTTCTCATTTTCATGTTACCATTTCCATAACTGCTTCAGAGGCACCAGAAAATAAGATACTTCTATAACAATATACTACATTCAAAAAGAGAAGCAGTCTTCTACTTCCCCATTCTAGAAAAGCACCGTCTGTCAAAAATTTGCTTTTCTGCATTAAAGAAAATAAATTTGACCAAAAATGTATATGAATCATTACTGAATTTATACATAATTACCATTCTTTAAAAGTTGGAGGGCTGTATTTATTTTTTTTTCAGTCAAACTAAGTAACAAAAAGAACTGCGACCTCAACTAATAAATTGCGTCTTGAAATATACATGATTGTGTTGTCCCCGTGTTACTTCCAATGGTAACTGACACGCCCCGAATTTAACTGTACCAGACAGTTCTATCTGTCCCATCGCTGACCAAACACTGCTTCTCTGTTTCTATTCATTATGTATTATAAGAGGTCTAAACACAACCCAGCATGACGAGAAAAAAAATTACAATTCTTATGACAGCAAAGTGATGCATTCAAGTTCTCTCTTGCAGTACATCCCTATCTGTGAGCATTAACAGGCATTTTTGATAGAGCTAAAATGCGTTGGCTGCAAGCTCATTACTCTAAGAACCTTGGGCACCTTTCCTGCAGGTTTTCAGAAAACACTCGTAAAAACCAGGCACTATTCAAACCTTGCAAACCAAACTTGCCAAGAACCTTGTGCAATGATCAGTAACCTTGGCTACACCACCATCCGCCTCAAATTCACGGTCCTGGAGACCAATGCAGCAAAACCGAGGCTAGAGGCTAGCTAAAGCCCAACAGAACTGCCGCGCTTCTCCTCCGCCGCCCCTTCTGCCGCATGGAGAGAGGCAAGGGGAGAAGAGGAGTAGAGCTAAGCTCACCAGCTCTGAAGATGCTCCGGTGACCTCTGGCTGCGCGGCGAGAGCTGGGCCGGGAAGGCGCTAGTGCAGCCGCGGCGGGCCGTGTGGACTATGCCCCTGGTGCATTCCTCGCATTCCTGCACAATCTGTCGCCAGCCGAGGAGCCCGCGGCGCGCTTCCCCCCGCCCCCGGACACACACACCTGCCTATTTGCTGCGCCCCGAGCGGCCACGGCCGCCGCGGCGCCTCCACGGCTCGCGCTCCCTGTTTGTCGCACTCAGCCAACACGCAGCCAAATCCCGGCCCCGCCGCTCAACCCCTCGCTTCCCGGGTAGGGGGAAACGGGGAGAGAGCGAGGCAGCCCCAGCGGTGGGCAGGGACACCAGAACCGCCTGGGGGGGGGGGGGGTGCCGCAGCTCCGCTTCAACTCCTGGCAGGGTGAGAGGGAAGCCGCGGCTCAGGAGGGCTGCGGGGGAAGCTCCGGGCTGGGGAACCGGGAGGGGTGGAGCGCGAGGATACGCCGCGAAGAGCGAGGGGCGCACTGGCCAGAGGGGGGTGGGCAGGACCCGCAGGAGCGCGGGACTCTGGGGGCAAATGCGAGGCGGTCGCATGCAACAGGGGCGTGGGAGGAAGGAAGGGGGCCAGGATGCAGGAGCTGGAGGGACGGACAGACCGCCCCGAGGGCTGGGGACGGCGGGAGCCCCACGGTGTTGGGGGCGCGGGGCGGCGTGCCAGGCGGACGGGAGCGGGGGAGCCTCGGGGCAGACGTCCGGGAGGGCTCGGCGTGGCGCTGAAGTTCGGGGTTGGGGGCTCTGGATCCGAAAAAGCCAACGTGGGGGAGGGTCCTGCGCGGCGTGCAGGGAAGACCCGGGGAGAGAAATAGCCGGGAAAAGCAAATGGAGGGTGAAACTTGTGCGCCTGCCGGGGGGAGGGGAGCAGGCAGGCGAGTGCGGGCAGGAACACGAGGCGGGGCAGGAAAGCCGAGGCGGCCGCGAGGCGGTGGGGACGGAGTAACGGGAGGGAGGCGCCCGTCCCCCACGCGCCCCTCACGGGCAGGTCCGGGCTCGGGCGCGAGAGGGCGAGGGCCGGAGGTCTCGGGAGCAGGAGTCTTCGCGCCCTCCCGCGAGCTCGCACACTTACTTTCCAGGTTAGGCTGCGCCCGTCGTCGCTCGGGGGACCAGGGACATCTGCGCCGAGGGGTCGCCGCTGCGGCACCCGAAAAAATTAAAAAAGTGCCGCGGCCAAGCGGCTGCCCGCCCCTCCCTCCCCCACCCGCCCCCTCCCCCGAAGCGGCTCTCCCACCACCCCCGGCGGCGGCGGTGGCCAACTTGCCCCTCTACCCGGTGCCCATGGTGCCGCCCCCGCGGCCGGCGTCGACACGGAGTCAGCCCCGGAGCCCCCTCTACTGCCCAGAGGCCGGCGCCGCCGCCCGCCCAGCCGCCTGCCCGCCTGCCCAGCCAGCCCCGGGCTCCCGGGAACGTCAGCACGCCGCCGTCTCCGGACCTGCTCCCCGCCAACCCCATTGGTCGGAAGGAGAAGGCTGGCCCTCGCCATTGGCCCGGCCCTCATATTGAACCGGCCAATGCAAACTGCGGTTTCAGGTCGCCATAGAGACCGATGCTGTTAAGAGCGAGAGGGCCTGAAGAGGGTGGGGAGTGAGGCTGAAGGTGTCTCAGGCTTTGGGAGCGGGAGGGGGTGTAGGGAAGGGATACAGGGGGATTCCTGAGTGCTGGCTCTGAAACCTGAGGCAGCTTGTGCTTTGGCTTCCTGTCAGCCCCAGCTGTGCCTGGTCGGGTTTGTCCCTCACCTCACCTCGAATCCATGAGAGCCTAGGAGGAGGCATTTCGCTTTTCCTGCGTCTGGGAGCCCCTGAGACTTTGACCTTTGACCTTTGACATGTGTGCAGCTTCTGCTACTCCAGGTGAGTTTGCACCCTATCCCTTAATTCGCTGTTTCCTGACGTCACTGATCCACCTGAATTCTACTTGTTTTCGTCCAGCCACTCCCCTTTCCCTGGGGCCGATCTTGCCTCAAAATGTTGGGTCTAAAAACTTATAGCCGTCCGTAAAGGAGACTCAAAGAATATTTCCTTTGAATGATATTTTGGTAAGGAAACAGGCTGACGTATATTATGTGGGATGTCATTGAGTCATCGCATAAGATAATGTGTTCCCTGCTACTCCAAGCAAACCTCTAATCTCCCCATTGAAGGATATTTATTAAAGACCCACCTGTGTGTACATTCTGCACTGTGAGTTTGGCAGGTGCATGCTCTTTCCCCTAAGAGTTTACAGAGTGGGGAAAGACAGGTGACAAAGTCAATTCTTCATGCCTTCTGATGATCTCAGAGAGTAAAAGGAATAGATTACAGTTGACAGATGTTGTTTTTCTGGGTATTTTCCAGTTTACCTCAAATTTGATAAAGAAATGAACTGAGACATGTACACAGAAAAATCTTGAGTTTTAATAACAAGTTCTTTGCTTTCCTTTAGTCACCTTGTGCTAGTTTGTCAATAACAATTGTTTTTTGTAAATAACTTTCATATTTAGATACTGGCTATTCAAGTGGGTCTTCATGAAAATATTAGGCTCTTAAGCATTATATTGCTCTATCATGTAGTCACTGATATTCTTAGGTTTCTTCCTTTGGTGATTTTGCCATGTTAGTAAGATTTAAGAAGACAGTGTTTATGTTACCACCCTTCAAGTTGGAGGGACCATATTTTGTGAAAAAGCTGATAGGATTTTGGAAATTACAAATATTTATTGAGAGAAACAGATGAATGTGTGTGCAAGCTATATGTCTAACTACTGTCCAGAATTTTAAGTTGAATAATATGCTTTGCTATTAGTTTTTATCTTACTATAATTGCAAATTACAAAAATAGATAAGACTTGTTAATATGGTACCTTGATTGGAAAAACATCTCTTACAATTTGTAGTAAAATTTAAACTTAGTTGGTAATCCTATGCAGGGTTGAACTGTGGAACAAAACAGTTGAACATGTGAGTGTTCCCCCTAAATATTTCCAGAATTGGGAAGGAATCAGCAGGGACCATAGTGTGTGCTTGTCTCATGCCTTGCCATCACGGAAGTTTGCTCATCATGTTTTTCATTTCTGGCTTTTGTGTGTGTGTGTTTGTTTTTGGAGAATAGAAAAAGTAAAATGCAAATTTTATGACTCATTTTTAATGTACTAAGAAGATAACAATGATTTGGTTTTAAAAAATATCTAATAATACTGAATGAATAGAAGATGTATCTAATGTAAAGAATTACATTGATATTTCCTTTTTTCTTGCCTTAGGTTAGCATAGAAAGAAAACAAGAATTAATTTTTTTGACTCCAATAATCTTTTCTTTTTGTATTTTTCTCAGATCACGCATGACGAGTATTTTGATATTGTGTATTCCATGTTTGTAATGATTAGTGTCACTAAAATCTGTGAGTAAAGTCCCCTAAAATGTTGCTAATTGACATTATTATTATACTTATTAATTATTTTTTTGTAATTCTTATACACAGTTGAAAGATTTCTTTTGAACTTGGTCCTGTACTACCAAGCACTGCTGGATAAGGCTAAGAAATCACTTTGTTCCAGTGAAAGTCTATGCTATCCAGACTTGGCTGGGTCTTCACTGATTCTCTAAATTCCTTTCCTCATCAGGAGGGTGATTAAACAGGACACTTAACCAGGGACATTATCCAGGGCACTTCTCCCAAACCTGTCCTATTTCTGCTCTCCTCAAGCCCCCACTGTACTTTGTCTTCTTCCAGTTCTGTAAATGATCTTGCCTCATACTTAACTGAGGATCCATCATGAGGTTTCTCTCTTTAACACTCCTACCCCAGTCTCAATTTTTATACGGAATCACTTACTTCAATCCTGACTGAGAAGGGGTGCCACTCTTCTGTTCTAAACTCATACTCCCATTTCTATTCCTAAACATGGGCTATCTTACCTCCCCAGGAGTATCCTTTATTGATTATAATGTCTCTCTTAGATCATATGTTATTTTCTCATCCAAAAAAAATTATTCCTTACACCTTGCATATATATCTGACCCTTTGTGAAACCGCCCTTCTTCCAGCCCACCTCCCTCTCCATCTTATTGCCTTTTCTTCTCACCAAAAAACAGTCTGAAGGGAATTTCTTAAGGCTTTTATTTTTTTTAACCTTCAATATCCTGGCCCTTGAATACAACTGAAAAGATTCTGAAGGTTGTGCACTTTCTCCTCAAAATCCAATTCATTTTGCCAGTAAAGTTCTCTCTTACAAAAGGGCCTTTTACTTGCAAATTGCAATGCCTTAATTCCAGATTTCCAGTGAGGGGTAGAAACCATTGTCTCCCACTCTGAGGTTCCATATAAATGCAAATGAACAACTTGAGAAGAGGGAGCATTTAACCTGCTAGCCAAACCACCTAGGTAGGTGGGGTCTAATTGCTGGGAAGTAGAGGTGGGAAGAGGGAGCTCTACTGAGCCTGACTGTGGGATCCAGGGCAAAGTTCAAAAGACTGAAAATGTTTGGTGAGTACCACCTTCAAGAAAAAAAGTAAATTGCAGAAATCAAAGGGATTTTTTTCAGTTACCATCTCAGAAAGAAGTCAATCAGAACCTTTCATGATTATGAAAACTTTGTGACTTTCCAATGTTTGTTATTTTCATATTAGCTCATAATGATTAGTATTCCTGAAAAATAATAGCAGAGGCAGCAAGGAAAAGGGAGAGAGCATAAACACTGCCTCCTTTCTCATTCTTGGAAGCCTATGGAGAAGGTGGGAGCAATAAATATAAGAATTCCAAAAAACACACTAATTAATAGTTGCTTTTTTGGTTTGCCTTTAAAAGGAATGTTAAAACAGAGGCAGGTGGCAAATGAGGGAAAGAGAACAGTGGAATAAACTGGTCCTGAGAATGGCAGCTAAAGCTTAATAATAGTTCGGCTCAGGCTTTCAGGATTGACTGTGTCCCACCTCCAGACCATTCTCTGAATATGCAAATCCTCCCCTGCCCTTAGAGGCCCAGCCCAATAGTTACCTCTAAAGCCTTTCCTGAAAATTTCCCCACCTTACCCACACCTCTAGAGAGGGTGATTTCTGCCTTAGTATTTTATTGTAGCACTCTTTACCCCATGGTGTAGTTACTCCTGTGTGAGCCTTCTCTCCTAGATGATAGGATACATGTAATAGTCATGGTTGTATCCTCCCTAGTGCCTTGGACTACTAAAGTGTCTCCCACACTAAGAAAAGCCAACATCCATTAATCCTTATTTTAGTCCTTGGAAGAATTTGACTTCCAACAAAGAAAACATAGAATCAGTAATGTTGGGAGTTACTTACAAAAAGATGGGACTAGAGGTTCAGTGTAGAGAAGTGAGATAACATGTGGCAGAGCAGAGGAGAGGTTTCTGCCATGTAGTCTCCCAAGAGAGAAAAGCCTTAGATCTTATCTCTAAGAGGACCTGTCTCTGCCCCTCTGTGAGGGGGGACCAGTGTGAGAAGGACTGGCTGCATGTGTTTTGGGATGAAGTTATCATATTCAGAGCTAAAATTCTGTGTATTGGGAAAAGCAGTTGAAACTCAGCTTTGTCAAGCAGATTAAATAAGGGTTACCTACATTTTTTTCATCCGAAGTATCCAGGTTGCTCTGTTTTTTGGAACACAGTGGAGTCATGAGAATGTAACAACTTTATAAAATCATAAAGGCATCAAACACCTGGTAAGTGTAATAGACACGTTTCCAAGGACCTATATCCACAGCCATTGAAGTATGCAGCCCTGCAAGCTTCATGACCTAGCATCTGTCCATGGTATCAGCCCGGGGAGACCTGATTCAAATGTAACCAGTTCATTGCAGACCATTGGCCATAACCTATAACAGTACCAATCAGATTCATCTCCTGAAAATTTGGAATTTAGAGAACAAGTGAGCCAGAGAGAACTGCTGCCTTGGCCCTGATGTTTTCTGGGCTCCTATTCTCCCCACGAAGCCAGAATACACTTCATTTTTTAGTATTCCATGAGCTGTTTCTTATAGTCACCCCAATACATTCTTTTCTGGCTTTGCCTTTAGTGAGTCTCTGTTTCTTACAATAAAAAGATTTCATGACAATATTATGCAAATATTTGACAACAAAACAGAACCTGTATTATGACCATCTTACCGCACTACGAAGAGTAACAGTCTAAAACTGTCTAACAAACAAACTATAAAAAATGACCTGCCTAGTTCCAAATATTGCCAGTCTCAGTTGGGGAAAAGAGCTTTATTTAGTGTTGTGTCTATTCCCCAACCCCCCCACTCACCAAACTCAAAGCCTTATATTCTTCAACTCAATTCTCCTCCTGTGAAATTGGGAGCAAGAGAAGAACTTTGAGAAGATGAGCAATAGGATTGCTTTTTCAAGGTAGAATTATTTGCCATGCTACTGATGTAGGAAGGAAAAATTAGAATTTATATTTATTTTATACATGTACAGTAATTTTTTAGAAACTGGGCTAAAACATAAAAATGAGATAGGAAAATTACCGGAGATATCAGTGACCAAACAGCTCAGGGGAAACAGACTCTGAAGTCTAATTTCCAGCAATTTAAAGAAAACCTTTCAGGAGGAAAACCGGACTTAATACAATATTGCTATAATATTTAGCCAAAATAATCCAATTTTCAACAAAAAATTTCGAGACATGCAAAACAAAACAAAACAGGAAAGCACAACCCAAATTCAGAAAAATAGGTAACCAATGGACATGCTGAGTGGGCCTACTTGTTGGATTGTACAACTTATCCAAACCAGCTACTATAAGTACATTTAAAAACTTAAAGGTAGGGGAGCCTGGGTGGCTCAGATGGTTAAGTATCTACCTCTGGCTCAGGTCGTGATCCCGTGGTCCTGGGATCGAGCCCCGCATCAGG